ACCTCCAACTCCTGGGCTCAAGCGAGTCTCCTGCCTCAGCCTCCCAAGTAGCTGGGACTACAGGCGCCCGCCACAGCGCCTGGCCATTTTTTGGTTGCAGCCATCATTGTTGTTTGGCGGGCCTGGGCTGGGGATTAGAACCTGCCACCTTAGGTGTATGTGGCTGGCGCCTTAGCGGCTTGAGCCACAAGTGCCGAGCCGCCCACCTAGATTTTTTAAAAATAAAATTTAAAAACCCCAAAGTAGATGAATAAAAAACAAAAAAAGGAATAGATTCCAAATTATGGTTCTATCAGTGTATGAACTTGATCAGGCATCCTCAAACTACGGCCTGTTGGCCACATACGGCCCTCCTAGGACATTTATCCAGCCTGCCGGGTGTTTTTGCTGCCACTGCCTGTCCTGCTTAGCAGCCGACTCGTCCCGGGGCCCACAGTCCAGCCCTCCAACGGTCTGAGGGACAGTGAACTGGGCCCCTGTTTAAAAAGTTTGAGGACCCCTGAACTTGATCATCATAAGGCAGGTGGCTCTATTCTCAGCCCCTCCATTTCCCCATCCTTTGACTAAGAACAGCAGGCCTGCGGCAGTTACCTCCTACATGAGGGTTAAATAGGAGGACACACATACAGCCCTAGCAGACTGGCACATAGTGGGTGCTCAGGAAAAATAAACTATTTTAAATTTGTGTTTGCTTTTCTATTATTGTATTCCTTTTTGATACCTAGCATTTACAAGACCATCCACAGGCCACCCTATGAAATTGTTAAAACTGAAGACCTGTCAAGCAACTTCCTATCGCTGCAGGAAATCCAGGCTGCCTACTCTAAATTCAAACAGCTGTTTCTGATAGGTAAGAAGAATGCTGGGCGGTGCCTGCAGTTCAGTGGGTAGGGTGCTGGCCCCATATACTGAGGGTGGTAGGTTCGAACCCTGCCCCAGCCAAACTGTAATAAAAAATAGCGAGGCATTGTGGTGGGCGCCTATAGTCCCAGCTATAAGGGAGGCTGAGGCAAGAGAATTGCTTAAGCCCAAAAGTCGGAAATTGCTGTGAGCTGTGATGGCACAGCACTCTATTGAGGGCAACAAAGTGAGACTCTGTCTCTAAAAAAAAAAAAAAAAAGAAGAAGAAGCAGCTGAGCCAAACCTTTCTGTCAAATGGGGAAAGATCTGCTAGGTGGATCAGGTGAAAGTTGGTGCCTTTTCCCTGGATCCCTTATGGTAGTATGCAGAGGCTCAGTGCTTCAGTGTCGTAGAGCCGAGGGGCCGGCTACCATTGCCATGCCCCTCTCCATCTCTCTCCAGGTTTTCCCTCCTGTTTCCGTGTCCTGCCAGTGATCACACAGCCACTCTCCTCTCCTCCCCTTTCCCCACCATACCAATTACCCACTGGTGAACATTTTTTGGCTTCTGCCTCTAAAACAGTGGTTCTCAACCTTCCTAATGCTGCAGCCCTTTAATATAGTTCCTCATGTTGTTGTAACCCCCAACCATAAAATAACTTTC